ATCTTTTTATGTCACCTAACCCCCCCCCCCCAAGGGCACGGTGGAGGAGGTCTGTCCTTCTCCCAGGCTGGTGCGGAGCCGCTGCGCAGAAACCATCTGAAGCAGGACACGGAAGATCCAGGCTGCCAGCACTGCTGCTCAGCACGGGCGTTGCTTCAGTCACGGCTTTTGTTGCCCAGGATATAGAAGGGAATACGAGAGGGAAGAAGGAACCTGCGGTCTCCGCGTGCGCCTGGGGAAATCCCCAGTGGGGAGGTTGTTTTAGGTGTGGATGGCGAGACTCCCACGCGTGCCAGCCTGCTCCAAATCATTTGGCAGAGGGACCAACAGCCATCTCCGAGAGATGCTCGGAGTTGTTACAACAGCGTCGGAGCTGTCTTGGCTCCCATCAGCGAGGGTCCCCTTGGCCCACCACGGAGCGAGGCACAGCAAACCCCGAGCTGCCCTGCCCGCTCTGGAAAGCAGAAAAGCCCCAAAGCCGCGAGCTGTGCTCACTTGGGGTCTGGCAGGACGGACCGTGCATGAGCACAGTCGTGGCGGGGTCAAAGCCGTAACAGAAAGTCACAGAAACCAGACGAGGTCTCAGCCCCGCAGAGCCCTCCCCGCGCCCCAGGACGTCCCGCTAGCGACTGACCCTTCTCCGTGATGAGCTTGCGATTCTCTGCCAGCTCCACCTCCAGCTCGTCCCGGTTCTCCCTCTCAACAGCCAGCTGCTTCTTCAGCCGTCGCAGCTGAAACTGGGGGGTCTGCATGACGTCCCCCATGGGCGAGGACGGAGGGCCGGCGAGCATGCTGCGGAGAGGCGTGCCAGGTAACTCTGTTATCCGGAGCCAACGGCAGGGCACAGTCCCTCCCCGCGCAGCCAGACCCGCTCTGGTTCCCCCATCTCAGGGTGGGGTTCAGAGCAATAACTTCGACGCCTCGTCACCCGAGCGGAAAGGCCCGCTCTCATCTTGATTACGCTATCGCCAGTCTCCCAAGCGTCCGGCACGCACGTGCAAAACCACCTCCAGTCCCAGGGCAAAGCATCCATCTCCCTTCACACCAAAGCCAGAGCCCCACCGCAGAGCACTCCGCTTGCTAGAGAGAAACCCCTTTAGCACATCCAGCAGCAACAGGAGCCTGGTCCTCCCGAACCCACCCAGGGCAGGAGGGGACCCCAAGCTGCTCTGGGAAGTGTCTGTGCTCGTTAGGCTGAAATGAGCTGCGCTAAAAGGAGCTAATTACAGCCCCACCTCACTCCCCCACCGTACATCCCCACGTCAAGCCTGGGGAGCTTGCAAGAGGACAGCACCATGGCAGAAAGAGGGTCTCCGTTGAGTCAGCGTACACCCCGGCTACATCCCCGGGTCCCAGAAGCCGCCCTGTCCGTTCCCCCCCTCCCCTCGCTCCCCCCCGGCAGCCAAGAGGCTGGGGACGTACTTGTTGGCGCCGGAGGAGGAGGCAATCTTCTGCAGCTCCAGGAAACGCACCTCTCGCTTGTGCGGGAGGGAGAGCAGCGGGGAGTGCTCCTCGGAGCTGCTGCTGGACGCGCTGGACGAGGACAGCGGCGCTGGAAGTCACAAGCGAGAAGCAGGCTGTGATCTTCACGTTAATACCAGAAGGCAGGGTTTAGCAGCTGAAATCCCCGACGCGCAGGAACCGCAAATTCCAGCGGGGACGGATCAGCCCAGCCGAGGAAGCCATAAACCTGCCTCACACCCCCGTCCTGCCAGCTCCACGGTCCTGCCCCGGCACTCCGCTCCCACCGCCAAGCTGTGGGCATCCCACCCGCCTCGCTCCTCCGGGAAATTTCAGCGGCACGTGCTGCAGAGGCCGGGATGCTGCCGAGCGGGGAAAGCCTGGCGGGTATAAGGCAGCCCTACTTTTAAAGATCTTACAGGGGACCATTCTGTAGCGCTCAGTCCTGGGTGAGGGGATCATAGAATCATTGAGGTTGGAAAAGACCTCTAAGATCATCGAG